GACCTTAAGAAACTAATTAGGATTCAGTTACGGTTAACAAAGAATTAGGAGATTAGAATCCAGGATTAGGATTCTTAATAGTAGCTAAGTTTGAGCGTCGCAACCTAGTGGTGCATTACTCCGACTTACAGATCTCAAAGGTTGTTAGTTCGAAACTGGCTAATGCCGAAACCATAGTATGTCATCTTTCCGACTATATCTCCAATAATAATAAACACTGTTAACAAAGTAAATAAATTAGAGTGACTACGGTAGGCTCGCTGCCTGCCGGGTGTTGGTTGTTGGATTCTAATACAACCGACGAGTCTAACTGACACATTATCAGCAATACACCCTATCAGGTCAACCTCCACGCGGTTCCCCCTGAAAACCATCATGGTTCAATCTAGCGGAATTCGTCACGATGGGCTAACTTACCTACTTTCATCGTCACCTATCATCCCTCACTGGTGCCCCGCCAGCGTATACCGATAGCGCAGACTGGTTTACCATTCCATTATGACCCATTAAAAAAAATACGACCGACGAAATGTGAACAGGTCTATTATTATCAGGAATTGCTTCACCAACAGTGGTAGTAATCGACAATTGTCTCTGCTTACCCCATTAGGGATTACAGTCATGTGCATATTTATTTTAACTAAGAAGTTCACAAATTTAGAAGGAAGGCCAGAGCACAGTAATGGTGTAATAATGTGTTGCGGTAACATACTTAGTAACCAACTCATACCTGTGCAATACTGTACAATTTTAAACATTTACTTAGTTAACATGCGTTATATGCGGACACACAAGCTGCCTAGCAACTGTGATGCTATCACGTTAATACTCTCCTGTGTTTGCATGGCTGTGTTTCGGTTTGAAGGCTGGGATATGGCGTGAATTTACAGAGGAATAACACCTGAGTCCTCAGGAATGTCAATGCATGGGGGGTATCATGGGCGTAACAGTATACTCTGTTATGTTCATGGTACTGCTCATGTCTATAGGCGACGGTTACCACTTTCCACCAGGTGGGCCGTCAGCTTGTTAGCGATTCTAAATTGTATAAAAAAAAATTATGCGGTGGCCACTCCCAGTAGTGGGACGTTATTTTTATACATCTTGGTTATGGCAAGAGCTGACAGCTCCATTCTCTATAGAGGAGGAAGGAATTGTCAGTAATGGGGTTTAATTATTAAGTCCCATTGCTAACAATATAGCCTATCTGGTCTACTTCCACGTAGTTCCCCTGGGAACCATCCTGCTTAATTCTTGTCGAATTCATCGTAATAGGCCAACTGTCCTGCATTGATTCTCACCTATCACTCCTTACTAGTACCCTGCCAGCGTATACCGACAGCGCAAGTGGGTTACTATTACATTTTCACCCATTAAAAAAACCATCTTCTGTAAATGAATAGGACATTGCAAAGTATAATGTGACAGACATGGTACTCATGTATTACTATACCTTGTTACACACTCTTCAAAACAAAACGGCAATAGCAATACGAATGGGACAGAAATACCCATTGAAATGACTTCTAGGTTGTCCTGATGACAATAACTTATTATAAATAACATATTATAAATAATCCTGGTCATGCCACACAATGCCCTCAAGTTCTGAATTACTATCAATTTATAGTGTGATATAAATTATAGAAAAAAAAAACAAATAGAAAAATCTGTACTGTAATAATGAATAAATGATAACACTTTCCAACAATTTATTCTAATGTAATGAAATTTAGAGATGTAAGATCTCAAGCCTCAGAATTGGCGACACATGAAAAGTAACATGGGTGTCTCAGTGTATACTGTGTGCTCCCGTTACAGAATGGGCCACCAAAGAAACTAATTGGGCGACTAAAGAAACTAATCGAGGGATGGGCAGCAGCATCTCTTTTAAAACATCATCCAAAACCTAACTGCAATTGCCAACCTGTCTATCAAGAGCCTTAAGAGAGAGGCCTATGTTCAACAGTGGACAGTTGACAGCTATTATTATGATGATGATGATGATGATGATGATGCCATAACAATATTGAATAATTGTGGGTGACAAAGAAAACCAAGAATGAGAATTAAAAATATATGTAAGTATATTAATAAAGGAAGCTTAGAAAACTAGGGCTGTGAAGGGAAGCCAAAGGGAACAATAGAAAGTGGTGACAATTTTGAATATGGTAGATAATAATATAAAAAAATATAAACAACATATGTATGTGACCTGTACTAAATACTTATAAATATACTACATTCGGTGTGTGATACCCGCATAGATTAGGTCACCCCTTCTATTCCTGTGAGTGTAGTCTAGAGACAACTAAGGGAGAGTGAGGGATGGGCAGCAATGTGCCTCTTAAAACATCTCCAAAGCCTAACTGCGGTTGCCAATCCATCTGCCAACAGTGGATGACCTCCAAGGGGGATGGTTATATTCATCAGTGGATAGGTGAAGGCTGATATGACGATAATAATGATATTGGACTCAAAATCAAAAATGTTGCCTTTTCTAAATTAGTGCCTAGTTTGATACTCCGTGAAGTCAATTTGGAATAATCAATCAATATGTAATTTGGTATCCAAGAACATTATACTTTCCATTCATGCATATGATTGTAAAAGTAATTAATTCTATAAGTACCAACATTATAAATGTGAAAGAAGTTTAGATGTATGCTACACAATGTCACTTGGACAAATTAACTTATTTGAGTGCTATTTGATATGTACACCACAGATGCACCATACTGTAGACAAGCAAAAAGTAATTTATCCTAATAAATGGAGGATATTGTTAATTTTATATTTTTATTTCTCCATATTTAGTACTTCGTACATCATAATACAAATAATAATAGGATATACAAAATAATAACTATATTAAGTATTTATAAAGATCACCCGGACCCAGATTTTAATAAGTATTTTCATTAGAGTGGCAATTCACACCATCTCCCATTATGATAGTTACAAATTCAATCTCTGAACAATAGATACATATGTATTCATGTTAAAAAATGTAGTTAATATTTTTCTTCATCTCATATGGTATGCGTGTATAAAATGTCATAGTGATTGGGTTAAGACATTAAGACACTGTAAGGTAAACAAACAAACAAACTCACTTTCACATTTATAATATTATTTATATTATATATAGGCAATATTGTCTCCACACATAGTCATGGAATATAAAACAAATGTTAGAAAGATATTTATAAAGTAGTAAATAAATAAATTAATAAGGGTATATTTAAAAAGTATTTTATGTCCCGCAGTATACATTTTACTTAGTTTGAAATTAGATGTCACCATGTGACATGGTAAGATATGTTATTCCTTATAGATACATATACATCACACCTGTCTTGTATTGGAGTGAATAGAAATAATGGAAAGATAAAAATACTTAAAAGTTATTTGTAGAAGAGACTAAGTATATTTATTTTAGAAGAGTATAGGATTTCTATAGAGCAACAATTACAAAGTTCATGTGGATATTTAGATGTTAGGAAGTTATTACTGTTTGGATATGTGTGGACAGAACAGCAAGTGTTACTGTTATCAGCCATGTTCAATATTAGATGCAGGTGTTTTTTTTTTGTTACAATATCTGTGATTAGTTTCATGCTAGGTATGAGCATAATTTATATATTACTATACATAAGTAGGCATATTATATGCACCAAAGTTACAAAATAAGCTGTGATACATAAAACTGCTAGTTTTCCTGTACACTTCAAATTATTATTGGCTCAGTAAGTACCATCTTGCTGACAGAGATACAGTACATGATACCTACTTACATTATTATTAATTATTGCGACTATTTGTAATCTTTCCCCACTTTGTTTATTTAATAACCAATCTTGGTTTATATTTTTATCAAAATTAGCAATTTAAAAACAAAAACAAACAAAAATACATTAATCAATAAAGATAAAAAAAGTGTATTCATTAATTTTTCTTTTTAATTTATTTAATATATCAATATTTTTAGATTGAACTTCCCAAAAAATTTGTCACTTCAATTGTGACATTTTGTCATCAACATGGGATCAACCAGAGGGAATAACCATATCAATATTAACACCATAGAGAAATACAGGCAAACTGAAAATCTCATATTTAGTAATAAAAAGATATATCATTTGTACTAAATGTCGAACACAATAATAACATAACAAAAAAATAAACGAGGATTTGCTATAACATGATAAGATCTGATTAAATGTACATAAATAAAAATATACGGAATATAAAGGTATTGAGTTCAAAGAAAACCTGGTTCATAAAGGTAGATGTTAGCACTCTCACTTCGAACCTGTACTGAGCAGGTTCAAATCATTTGTATCTAGTAGTAACTTAAGAGTTAATGTATTGAAAATTTAAAATCTGCATCTCAGTATAATACAAGACTTGAAATAATCTTGCTGATATTATAAATATTAGAATATGTACAGATGATTCAATATTTGTTATTCATGTTTAAATCAATGAATATATTTGAATGAAATTTCATATAAATAATATACCACAAATTGTAGACTGCCTTAGATTGCTTTGTATATATAATAAATACAACTAGCAGCAAACAAGTAAACATTAGTTAAAGGACAGAATAATGAGTGCTCCAGTGTCACAAAGAAAGCCTTTGTAGGCTGGCATTTGTCTGAGTGTATATAGACATAAACATGACAATACTTGTTTTTGCATACTCTTAAGACAATAACATGCAAAAACTATATCCCATCAGTGTAATAAGATGAATAAACAATTTTTATCAAAGTGGGTATTATATAAAAACAATAGTTTGATGGGTACTAGCATACTGTCTCATATTTTCAAAAAAAGAAACAAGTGTTATTGAAGTGATCTTAGAAAGTATTTTAGCAGAAATAGTGTTAAATGTAATTGTTTTCAATAGTGGCACACAACCTTGCTTGTTTCACAAGCAACCAACAAGGATAAACTGTGATAATGTCTATACTGTGTGACAGTGACTTCACCTGATCATGAGGCCGGCTGTTACATGGAGCACTTGCACAACTCACTGACACTCCACAATCACATTTAACACTAGGCAAGACTGTTCAATGGGCCATCAACCCAAACTGACTGCAATGACTGACTGACATCACAAAACTCACTGCACAGCGACTGCCCTGGCCAGTGGCCACTCTCAGGTCTCAGCACTGTCACTATATTGATCTCACTACACTCTGTACAATAACCACTACTCTTGGAATGCTGCTTTTCACGGTTTTATCACATTGGCTATGTTTAAATAACAGTTGCAATAGAAAATCACAACCTAACCTCAAAGTAGTTACACATAAAAATTGAAATTGACAATCACAGATGTTTTGAGATGTATTATTTACAACATGACATCACTCCCGCGGCCGTTCGACGCGAAATTTCACAAAGAACCGTGTGGCTGGCCATGGCAGACTGGCAGTATGGATTTGTGGGCAAAATGCTTTGTTTGACTAGCTAGGTACTTGCAGCCTTCACTGCACATAGCTATAGCTATGTGGGCGCGTATGTTATGTATGTATAGTGCAAGGCGTATATGCACCTAGCCATAATTCACTCGGGCGTTTCGTGAGCGCCACGACGAGCCGATCCGCTCGAGGACGGATAGCGCGCCTCTCGCACCGCCCCCGAGACAAAGGGCAGCGCGACAGGTTTCGTGCGCCCCGCAAAAACTGTAAACACGATTCTGATTTACGATCCCGGCGGTCCGAGTCATTCATACACGGGTGGCACCGGGGCCAGTGCGAGGCGGAGGCGGTCACGCTCGGCCGCCGCGCTGCAAGATCGCTATCGGCGGACAGCGGCAGCACCCTGCCCGCGCTGCCGCGACGCGCGACGTCGCCGTGTCCTCGCTCGCTTCGCCTCGCGGACGATGCGACCGTTTCGAAATGGCGCAACGCGACGGAGGCCGTGACGCTGCACGAGCGAGAGAATGTCCGCTCCGAGCGAGAACCGAACGCGGACGGGACGTTTCGCAACCTCGGATGGGCTCACAGAGACCGAAATAATCCACGACGTAAGTCCGCGGGCGGAACGGCCGCCGCGGGCAGCGGGTACAGAACTGCAGACGAGACTCGATACTCACGGCCTGGCCGCACGTAGCGGGTCAGCAGCGCCGGCGTCCATGGCGCGCCCAGGCCCTGGCCGCGGCCGGGCTCCGGGCCGTCGGCCGAGCGACGCAACACTCTCTCCGATCTCACTCAAAACGCGACGAGAAACACCGTCGCACCATCTCGACGACACTGCACATTGACCGCGACGCTTTTATACGCGTATAAACACTTCGCGAACGGTGTTTTGTTACATCGGTTGACTTTTCTTTGAAAAATCAATATACATTTTCCCCGAGTTTAGAGATACGGACGAGTCGATGTCCAGCGCAGGTTAGGTGCGTGAAGTTTGCAAGCTTTTTTAGCGCACCGGTGTTACCAACATTTTTTTGCCCATTTTTTGTTTTGGGTGTTGTGATTTTTTTTTAGTGATTTGTGATGCACTTCGTACTAGTCTGTGCTTCGTTGGGTCTTCCATAATACTCCAACGTGGCTTGCTCAGTGGCGCCAACCTTTGAGTTTAACAATATGCGATTTTATGTTTCATTTACGATAATTCTATATTTATGGCTCTAACTTCAAATCTGTATACTGAATTATAATGTTATTTACCTGATTTTTATTAAAGTACTTAATTTATTTTTAAATGGTTGTTTTTTAAGAAATTGTAAATTCTCAAAAAGAAACAAACAGACAAATAAATGAACAATCGAAACTGGTAGCTCTTATAACATAAAATATTGCTCAAGGTTTACATGATTTAACTACCATATATTAAATTACCATTCAGTACAGTTGGAAATTCACACGGAAACATGAAACGCATTCGCGCCGACTAAGCTGCGGGGAACGGCTAACATGAAATAAAACAATAGATATTGGATATGTAATACAAATTTTACTATAAATATTATACGTGCCATCATATCATCTACATTTTTAATACTTTTTATATGAAATGAAATGTTTTAATACACATTACAATGTTCCTGGAACTTCAAAACGAATCTTCTCTTTGTTGTATTTGCGCTTCAGGGTTAAGTTGGAGGAGTTGAATCTCACTTTAAACATAAAAAGTGAAGAGATCACACCTCCACTTAATCTTTTACGCGGTATTCTTCTTGGAATGAAGTCGAATATTGTGATGAGTAAGCATGTGTGGGGCCGTGTGAAATGGCTTCACGCGTGAGCTGGAAAGATAGATCTGGCAGCGTTAGATATTAAACTGTCAAGATCCCCTGTCCAACTCAGACGTATAGCCAACTATGTAGTATTCTTCTGATGTGCTCTGCAAAAAAAAGTAGAAATAGTTAAAGAAACACAAAGATATGTGTGTTGGCGGCTCGCATAGTGTGACAATGAAGGCGCGCGCCGCATGTGGACGCGCGCCCGCTATCACAGCTCTAAAAGGTGCGGCTAACGTACTCGTGATAAGAGCAACGCTTTTCCCTGTCGCGTCAATGTTCCTACCTATTCTGTTACAATTATTACTCATAGTCTGATATTTAAGCGCGTTAGTGGCAATTATTTTTATGATTTACTCCAGCGAGCACATCACGTGGAAGCAGAGAGCACATGTGTTCAACCACCATATGTTATTACGTAATCACTATAACGCTTCGTTTTAGATGCGACACTAAATAAATTATTCAGCTATTGGATACAGAGACATGTACATCACTGGTGTACTATGTCGCTAGTGTTATCAATGTCCGTGCATACTAGCTACCTACTGAGGTTGCTGCCACGTCAACTATCTTTACGTTAAAAAATACAACAGAAACTTTGAAATACGCCTATAAAAACAATTAAATGGAACAATACACAAACCAGTACGTTACACACAGGATACGCTAATTACCCAGAGGAGGCAGCTCCTGTTCTCGGCAGGAAGCACTGAATCACGCGGAGCTCCACACCACTGTCAATTGTACACACAGCCCACACTTCGATAGAGAGCCGATCGATCGATGGGTTCATATTTATACTTTCGATCGTATCTCCAGATACGATATCAGGGAACTGACACGAGGTACAAATGTCCACCATGATAATGATAAGATTTGATATTACAGGAAATCGATTGGTGGCCGCGGGCCGTATCAGGCGCGCAAACACTCCACTCCACCAATCGGCAAGGTGTCGATGATAAGCCGCGGTGCGTTGGCGATATGGTGCGCTGATGTGGAGCACAGATCCGCGACACCGTCGGCGGCGCCGGCGTCCCGCGGCTCTCGCCCGCAGCCCGCGGCACGCCGGGACCCCGGCCCCGGCACATGCACTGCAGCCGTGCAGGCCCGCCGCCTTCGCGCCGCTATCTGCAAACTACGATACCACACGATGACATGCTGTTTGTTTACAGTGGAGATACACCTCTATTACCTACATTTTATCTGTTCGGTGACAGATAATTAATTAGTTCGCCTATTACAACCACGCATGTTACGTAATAAAAAAAAAAATTAAAAATCAATAACTTGAAAAACATTTCAAATATCTATATACTTTAATTATATAATGATTTCAGTACTCATTTAATGAATTAATTCTAAACACCTCACATTTAAATACAAGCATGAGAAATTTTAGACCGATTTGTTTATAATAAAATAATTATGAAGTGTATTTATATACAATATATTTTTTATGCGCAAAACTATAAACGCCTAAATATTACAACTGATGTACTTTTAGTGGAAGCCGTGATACGTGGAAGAATTTCGACATGATATACCTAGATAACGTGACAAAAGATTCGTATCAAACCGTGTCATTTGATAAGACACGAGGTGTGCGCTTTCTGGAACACTTATAGACAGGTGTAATACAATTCACGTAGATAATATGTAACTGAATTAAATAAATAACCAGGTAACATAGCGTTCTCATGAAAAAATAGAAAAATTGCGTTGCCACGCCCAGCAGCGCACGTACGTTTTGCTCCACAAAAACACCTACTTCATTTGCGGCAAAACTGCATAATCCACCAGTTTACCAGAATAGACTTAGTACAAAAGTCGTCTATTTGGGTACTTCTGTACCATTCGTGTTTCTACTGTGAAGAAGTTTGCATGGCTGTTTCGTTTGTAGGTTGGAATATAATAGGAGGTATAATTACACATTTACCTACACAGAGAGGTACCTATGTATAAGTAAATGAGACAAAATTGCTACTTGAAGCCAGACACAGGAACATCTGGCACAAACTGTCCATAATTAGTGACGTAGGCTTCATTTTGAGAACATTCTATTGTCAAACTTAAAGGAAATCATATGAGAAAAAAATATTTTTACTATTAAAAGGTACATTTTTATTTAAAAATCATGTAGAGTAGCTTATTTTCAGTGTTCGGCATCAAAATTGTTACCCAAAATAGATATTTTACCAGAGGGAGACTTTGTTCAAAAGTCGATTGCTTGGGTACCTCTGTCCCATTCGTGTTTCAACCGTGAAGCAGTTGTGTTTACATGGCTGTGTTTCGGTTTGAAGGGTGGGATATGGCGTGAATTTACAGGGTACAGAGGAATAACACCTGAGACCTCAGGAATGGCAACCCATGGGGGGTATCATGGGCGAAACAGTATACTCTGTTATGTCCATGGTACTGCTCATGTCTATAGGCGACGGTTACCACTTTTCATCAGGTGGGCCGTCAGCTTGTTTGCCATTTTAAGTTGTATAAAAAAAAATATATTGAAAAAATATTATAATGTGAAATCTCAAATATTTCAATATTTTAAATATAATGGTATTTGATATATTTGGCCACAGTATTCAATGTAGGTCTTCCCTGTTTGTGGCATCCTTCCACTTGGCCTTGTATTTCGTCATCCTATTATCTCGCCTGTCTTAATTATGTCCACAAATATTATAACATTTTCTCTCTTATTTTTCAACATCGACTATTTAAACTAACTCCTTCTTTCATTACTTGATACAGTTTTTGCCTTATTCTGTAAATTCACTTTCATTCTTTTTTTTATAATTTTCGGTTTTTCGTATAATTTTCGATCATTCGATCATTAAACAGCTTCACCGTAATTTCTTATTTATATCTCGAGTTAAAAGAAATCTGCATTCCATATTTGCTATTCTTACTGAAACAAACTCAAGGTATATATTTTTAATTAAATAGGTTATTAGGAGTAACAAGTTTTTCAGTTTTATAAATCCCATCAATAGACTTTACTAATCGATATTATAGTCTTTAATTTAGGATTGTAATATCGTTTCCATACGTATTAATCTCGTGGGACCTCGATGTTTGTTGGTTTCATACATACATTTCTGTAGAATCTAACATTACATGGAACGATTAATGACAATTATGTGAGTACAACGTATCACCTTATTTTATCAAACACATGCAGCATAATCAACATGAGTCAGGGCCGCTTGCTGCCTTCCACTGCCTGTTCACTCTCATAAAGAATATTTCACTATAGTCAATAATTGTATACATGTTTGGGATAAGGATATCATATGTAACCAGGACTTGATACTTTATATAGTCACATATAGCAAGTCCTTATATATCATTGAATTTTAGGGGTAGAAGTAAGAACATAGAAGAAACAGAAAATATTGTCTAGTACAGTCCGTGGAATTTTTAATATTTTCAATTGGATGAAAATATCTTCGGTCATAATGGCATTAATGACTTGATAAGGCTTCTAGTAGATATAAAGTATCTTTAAGGTAAGATTCCAAAATTTTTAATTTCAATTAAGGTTTTCATTGTAAAAATAACATTTTCGAAAATGCTCTAATGTTATTTCCCATTGCGTTATCTTCAAAACTTCAAATCATAGAGAACAACTTGAAAAAAGTTACGGTGAGAATAAGAATTGACAAAATGTAGTTTCATTTCCATAGAGAGTATTAATTAACTTAAAACTAAACTTTTTCTTAAAAAAAAAAACAAACAAAAAGTGTTAAACTATTCACTTTCACCTGTCTCCTGTTTGCATAGAAAATTCCTTTCTTACATTTTCGTACACAAATTCCTTCAGGTTTTTTACTAGTTTTACTAAGAAACAAATTCCTGAAAATAATATTGTCAATTTTTTTCACCTGACATAGGTATTGGCAGTATTACAAAATAATATCATCACGAACATTAGTTCGCCAAACAAGTAGATATATTTGAATTCATTAGATACACCTACATACACATCTATCTATCATAGGAATCTATATAAATTGTTGCCCACATCCATGTATGTGACTATCGTTTGCGGAAATATTTTATTACTATGAAAAGCTCATTTATTACGAAGTGAAAGCTGTACCTTACCTCTGAAAAGTGGCGAAGAAGTTGGAGGCAATAAAGGGAGACTGGTGGCAGCGGCATCCCAGCCGGGGGCGCGGGCGGACCGGAGGGTGAGGGCACCGGCGGCTCGAGGCGGCGGCGACGCGGCGGGCGGCTCGGCCGGCCCAGTCGCTTCGCGGCCGTGAACTCAAACTTCGGAAACTTTTGCCGTATTGTGTTTACATTGAACTTTGTTATGTGGGTTAAAGTTAAGCCAGAGTTCAACAACGTATGTGGCATTTTACTCGATTGCAAAGTTGACTCTCAAGTTTGTATCGATTTTCATCTTACGTTTATCAGATGTTTCTAGGTCACCACACCATCGATCTCTAACTATAATTTGAAAAACACTTCACTTCTATGTCTTCTTCGTGTTAGAATTATGTAAGTGTGTACTTGTACATGTACTTGGTAGAAGCACTGAAAGACAATTTTAATTTTTATATAAAAGTTTGCTTCTATTGATTCGCTGTATCATATTTCGGAAGAGTACTGTGAAAGAAACAAAGACATGTTTCCACTCGTCTTTCTATGCTATTTCTGCGCTTTTTTTGGTGATCCTTTTGACTGTATCAGTCTGTTTTTTCTAGAGGTACCTATATATTTTTTATGAATTCTATTACGCTTCAAAAACCCAAACACAACCCTTTCATGAACTCGGCGAGTGGCTCGAAGTTTCTTTACGACAGTTACATGACAGTGAGTGTACATAGTAATATTTTATTTGGCGATATGTATAGGTTAAAGAAATTAGTTTTAAATACTGATGTACATAATTTTAAATTAAGATTTTGTTGTTCGTGGCAAATCAGTTAGGACGTTTATTTCTATGTGCAAAGATTTAGATAATAATCTTGGACAAACAACACGTTGCTCGTGAGTGTTGCTTTATCAATACAACTATACTATATTACTTAAAGCAATGGCACATTTTCAATGTGTCCACTACCTACATAAACCTGAACGTATTTTAATTTTATATATGATAATTAAAAATACAAGAATAAAATAAATATTTTTTTTATGGAATCAATCATGACAATTTCCAGAGGGAACCATGCGAAGGTCAACCTGATAGAGGAGGATGCTGTTAGACCCCATTACTAACAAACACTTTCCCCACAGATGTATGTACTGAAAATAATAGCAGAGTGATGGGATCTTACCAGAGGAAGACTTTGTAGTCAGTTGTACAAAAGTCGATTGCTTGGGTACCTTTGTTCCATTCGTGTTTCTACCGTGAAACAGTTGTGTTTGCATGGCTGTGTTACGGTTTGAAGGGTGGGATATGGCGTGAATTTACCAGGTATAGAGGAATAACACCTGAGTCTTCAGGAATGGCAATGACATGGGCGAAACAGTATACTCTGTTATGTCCATGGTACAGCTCATGTGTATAGGCGACGGTTACCACTTTCTATCAGGTGGGTCGTCAGCTTGTTTGCCATTCTAAGTTGAAAAAATCTAGAAATAGTTCTCTAACGGTTTCTTCGATTTTGATTACGCGTCATGTAGGTAGGTACAGTCAAAGTATTTGGCTTGAGGACAGCAACTACTATATCATCTATAACTCGTGGTGCAGCGTTAGGAAAAGGTATCTGAATAGCTACGTGATAAGTCCCTGCTGAGGTCTAAGCGAAGAAAAGGTTTTTCAAATTTATTATATTAAGCAATGTAAATAATTACTTTATCTTCAGATCCATATAATGGTAGAAATAATGTCACCAGATCATGAAGACATATATTTTTGGAAATTCTCATGGTAATCAGAGAAAACGAGTTTCGTGCTGCTATTCTAAAATCTGAAATCGGATTGTTTATTTTAATGCATTAATAATGTCTGAACCGTCTATTAAACTGTTTCTAAATTGTCAATTTCTTTAGTTTTGTTTTCTCCATCAATAGGAACGGTAAAGGACTGAGCCTATACAGCCGTTTACTTCAGTTAACGACTGATATTTTACACTTGTTTTTTAACTGGTATTCTAATTGTTTTCCTACATTTCGTAGTTTTGAATATGTAATTATAACGTTTGAAGAAATCTGATCTAAATCGTCAATTTGACAAATTTGTTTTTGGAACAAATTGATGATTTAGAACACAGTGTGTAAGTAGGTATAATAGAAAAAATACAATATTGTTTTTAGAAATCACATCTATCTGTTTATTATGAATAAATAGATAGATGTGATTTCTAATAAATAAATAGTACAAACATATCTAAATGTTTTTCAGCGAATTTCTTAATTTCCAGTTCCAAGAAATTTTATAATCAAATATATATAAACCCCACTTAAAATTTAGCTTGTCAATTGAATTATGATGTACGGCTTTATCTTTCAGTTTAAAATATATAATATTTATATTTACAAAAGACAATATTTAGAACTTGTCCGTATCAAAAATAAAATCAGCACATTATTCTATATTAAATCTTTTAATGTATTCAGTATGAATTATGTACAATAAAGATTTTACAATACAATACAATACAACATTCAATATAATTTTAAAATTCATTTGCAAGTAAGCTACATTGAGACACAGCTGAATTTATTCGTATGTTATATATCCGTATGATAACCGACTAAGATGATAATATCACCACTATTTCTCATTCGTAGGATATTGCAAAGGACAAGCAAGGGAACAAAGTACATTCTGCTAGTCAAAAAAAGTAAAAACTGTATCAAAATTTGTGCTGCGAATTGCATAGTAATTGTTGAGGTTTTATTTATATTACTTTTAAAAATAGAATTATTTATTTTCTTTTTCTGTCAGTTAATATTTTATTATTAGAGAACGTCACTTTTAAATATAATTATTATTGCACTAGAAAAAATATAAAATATCTTTATTCTGTATTTTCTATTTTATTGTTTTATACAACGAACTCTTCACAGTAATAGCAGCTCAGGATTCCCCTCTTGTAGAAAGAGATCTAGGTTCAGTTATGTAATATTAAGGGGGTGTCATACATGGATAGGTGATTATGTCTCTTGAGAGACTTGGCGTCAAGATAAACATACTAAAATAAATACCATATTTATTTATTTATTTATTACATATATATTATTTATATTATACACATTTATATTATATATTATTTGCTTCAAAATTAATAATACGTTTGTACTATGTTAGGTATTCATGGTGGTGGGACAGAAAAAAAAATATTTCGCTAATCTTATAACTTTGCGTCCACATAATATATCGTGTTATCATCGTTCCATGTGAAAAAATTATCGGGAACCAGCTTATTGATAACAGAAATGGTTTCAGGTGTGGTCACTATCAGCGATACGGCCGCGGTTAGATTGGAAAAATTAAAAACTGATGCAATAAATAGAATTGGCGGAGCCGCACCCTCAACATACTCGTAGCACCAATAAGTATGGATGCCAATAAAGTTGGACTCGTTCATTGAATCACAATATTATTTATATCAATCTACTTGTCGGGAATCACCTGTCACTACATTTACAGTATAAAGTAAACTTGTAAGTATGCGTAAGAAATAGCGAACAAATGCTATGCGACCAGGGACGCCGGCTTATGAAAAACCTCATGCTCGATTGATAACTTCATCATTATTTCAGTTGAAAGACGGACACTGATTACTGGACAAGCATTTGCGATCTAAACGACAGATAATGGGAGGGAAGAGATTGTTAGTAATGCGAACTATCAGTCCTTATTGCTAGCAATATGCCCCGCAGGTCGACTCCCACGCCCTCCTAGAAACTATCGTGCTGAATTCCTGGTGTATTTTTTTATGCAACTTAGAATGGCAAACAAGCTGTCAGCCCATCTGATGGAAAGTGGTAACCGTCGCCTATAGACATGAGCAGTACCATGAACGTTACAGAGTATAGGTACTCTTTCACCCGTGATATCTCCTATGCGTTGCCATTCCTGAGGACTCAAGTGTTATCCCTCTGTACCCTATAAATTCACTGCTATATTCATCACGATGGGCTAACTGACCTGCTCTTTCGTTTTCACTTATCGAAAAAATGAATAAAATCGCACCATAAAGGTTCCTTTGTACCTTTTTGGAAGAGAACCCTAAAAATTTGTGAGAATTGACAGCTTTTTGTTACTTAAATAATTGCTTGTTGGTTAATCCGTGACCACTATTGGGTGTTGTAATAATTATGTTTTAGTCGCAAGTTTCTTGGATTAAGTTATAAATGAAGCAAACACAATATTGTCATAAATGTTGTCTTTGCGATATTTTATTTTGGCGCCAATATCTGTCTTGACATCTACACTAAAAAAAAAAACAATAAAATTTTGTATGCGCATCATATTTTATGTAAAAAGTTAATATAAATGCTCTTCTTGCGATGGTTGATTGTAATGTTAGCAGTGTAATAGTAGGTGCCTTGCTCTATATCATTTTTAGACTTGTATTTGTCTAAGGCGCACGATAAAGAGATAAGTACTTAGCAGCAGGCGACATTTTATCGTGAGCTATCGCTAGCGCAAAAATCCAGTTCTAATTTCAGTAATATGAGCTATTGAATCATCGTATTTGTTGATATTTATGAGAAACACGTCACGCAATAACAGGTTATATAAAGGCAGGATAACAACTGTTTTTTAGAAATATTGAACATTTTTTTTATATGCAAATTAATGTAACAAACATGCTGACGGTCCACTTGATGGAAGAAAGTGGTAACCGTCACTTCATCATCATGGACATCACAGTATATACTCTGATACACTTAGATATTTAGCATTAGTACAAGTTTTATTTCTGTGGTTACATCTGCACGTGATTAAGGTTATATTTTTGTATAGTAGTGATTCTAAAGAACAGCAATAGTGAACAAATATCTCTGATTACCCTATTTTTCATTAACGATGAGTACATATCATACCATCCATATAGAATAGTTATATTTATTTATGAATACTAGTCATGTGTTTTTTCAAATAAAGATGGGTTAAATGGGATCATCCCACTAGTAGGTACAGTCCTTATCCCATGATAGGATAATTAATGGTGATTGGGTTCCACCATAGCTAATATTAGGGGAATCTGGTTGATTATTACAGCTTCAAGTTCATATTAATTTTTTTTTTCTATTGAAATGAGTTGTAAAGTATGTGAGGAAAATTAGTAACTTATTATTTAATTGATACCTATGTATTTTCTTGCTGCAATATAGTTACAAAGTTATAGGCATGTCTGTGCCCTTATCAGGGGTAGATAGAGTATTATACAGTATTTGTTATTATCAAAATTTTGTTTATACCACGATTATAATATATTTATAGACATATATATACACGATTATAGTAATATTTATAATACTGGTTACACGATTTTTGGGCCTGGCCTTTTTACATGTGAAATTTGGGTTTCTAAGAGAAACCAAATACAAATAAAGAAAAATAAAGTGTGTTCTGATCAAAGTTTGAATTGTCAAAAATAATAACTGGATTTTTATTTTTTCTTTCTAATTTTATATAAAATTAGAATTAGAAAAGTTTTGTTTGTTGATCACACACAACATTCATACTAATCGCTCAGAATTTATATATATATATAATAAATGATATATGTATACATGTCATAAGTATCTTGCATAAATAATTAGAAGTCAGCCCCATGACTTCTAAATATGTCAGTTATTCTAAGTAGATTTTTGAAAATTACCAAATTTCATTTAATAATAAAATTTACTTAATATAAGATTTTGTGCCACATAATGCCAACCCACCTGCCAAGCATGGTAACTACTGACAAAACCCCTCAAGAGGACGCTTATGTTCAGCAGTAAACAGTTAATGGCTGATATGATGATGATGATCTAGACGTAATATGATTTTATTCATAAATCATAAGTTTTTCGCTTTTCATTTCACTACCAGCCGCCTGTTCGACATCATCTCTCCTTGGGAAAGTTTTTGTTGGTGATATCCGCGACCTATGGTATAAAGAATGAGTTGAGAAAAAAGGAGGCTAATGTTGGGAGTGAATAAAGGAAGGTGGCAAAAAAGCAATGACAGATTTATGAAGAGGAAGGGAGGACATTGCAGTTGTTTAGTATATATTGATCAGAAACTGCAATGTTTCTGGAGGCCGGAATTGTATACCCTTGTGCCCTAATAATACATTTTTTATTTATTATCTATTAATTTTCCTCGTTAGTGTTGTTTATATCTTTTTAAAATGGTCCTACTAGATTCAAAAATTATTAATATAATTTTAGTATTCTATTTTTTAATGGACTCACTTTTAGAGGTCAAACAGAGAATAACATTTCATAATCGGTTACAATTTCTATTCAAGATACGTGAACACGTAACCACTTGTTAAACTTTTCAATGTTTTGAATATCTACAATTTAACAGAAGTAAGTTAACTTTATGAACATTGTGTTCATTAATCAAAAGTTTGGCGCAGCGTCTCTCCGCCCTCTTGTCTGCGTCGTCCACCCACCCTCCGTCCTTTCTTTTACGAGTATATGTGTTATAATAGATCGATATATATTTTAGGTCTTGCATAATACTCTTTCAATAATTGGCAACACTGAAACAAAAGGTCAATATTTGACAAATGGCTGAGCTATCTGTCACTTTCGTTCGGTGCAACAGAAGGGATAAACAAGCCATAACATAAATTATTTATTTACCTACTATAAAATACTATAAATAATGGATGTTATATGTAGATTATGTTGCTCTACAAAATTTGTAAATAATGATATTTTTGATGAAGAGAATGCATTATATTTAAAAATGTCGCTGTATTTGCCGATTAAGGTAGTGTTGACTTTGGTAATCAAGTCACATTTTGATATTATTATTTTAATCTTTGCCTAATAATTATAAAATATTTGCAATTTTTACAGGTGTTCAAAAATGATCGACTGCCTCAGAAGATTTGTGATAAGTGCAGTTGTAAAGTGAATGATATTTATCAATTCTGTAATGAAACTATTGAAGTTCAAAACAGGTAGGCATAGCATGCAACCCTTTAAATCTTTGAAATTTGAAATCTGATGTGGAAACTGTGAGAACCTGTGAAAGAAAGCCTAGGTTTATTAACTTCTATTTATGGAGTGAATGTATAAAAAAACAGAATAGGAGCATGTCACAATTCACTTGTGTTCTGTATTATAAAAGACATCAATTTCTAATAAGAAATCTTTTATATAGAAAGCAGCCTTGTAATATTAAAAATTTTAATTTATTCCAGATTAAGAAGTATGTTGCCACCCAACGTTGAAGTTGACAATTCATTAGACCTTACTTTAATAAAACACAACAGCAGCTCACCCCCACCTCCCACCTGCTGTGAACAGAGCACACAGACTGATGACAATGTTACACCCCCTCCGGTTAATAACACCACTACCACCACTACTAGTACAGACAATCTCATTAAGGTTAAAGAAGAGCCAAAACCTCCTACACCTCCACCAGTCAAAATAGAAGACTCATGTGTAGATTCTGACAATTATAATGATGCCTCCAACGATATGGCTGATGTACCATCTGATAATAGTGATGATATGTCATTAATAACTCTGAAGAGAAAGAAAAAGGGCAGAAATGTCGAAACTAATGGTCAGGTCACAGAGAAAAGAGGGAGGAAGAAGAAACCTAAACAGAAAGAGTGGGAGATGCTTATAAATGCTCTGCCTCAAAGCACGGCATTAACAATGGTGAACGAGGATAAAGAATCAATGAAGTTAAATGTAGTGAAGCAGGAGATTGAGGGGCGGGATATTGCAGTGTCACTGGAAGTAAAAAGAGAGCCGGATATGAATGTTTATAATTGTTGCATATGTTTCACACAGTGTTACAGTCGAATTGAAATGTTGCAGCACTACAGGTGTGTACAGACATATATAGATTCCAACATCTTGTTAGTGTTCATATTTGTCCAATTATATCTCCACGTCAGGGTCTTTACCATGTAGGCAAATTAAGGCCATGTAACTATACATAGTTACTGGAATACTGCAATTTTATTTGATCACATTAGTTGATAAGATTAACCTTTGTTGATGAGTTATTTTGAAAAAAAAAAATCAATCATTTACATATTACCACAGGGGCCAGGTAGGTCGGCATAGATTTTCATTTGTGTTCCTTCTCTTATACTGGTATATTGTGTTATCTTGCTTGAGATGCCTCTTACAATATCCAATAAGATAAATTACATCAATCCAATGATTAATGTAAGTTTATCTTAACTCAGAGAACAAATTACAATGTACCAAGTGTAGATCTGTTGTAATAATAATAATGAAAGGAAGAAGAAAGAAAGAAATAATACTTTCATCATTAGCATTGGTGCTAGTTTTTATATGATTTGAAATAGCAAACATGTCATCTCAATGATGACATAATCGTATGCTAAATTATGTCTGTAGTCCTATTCTATATGCTTAGCTTTCCAATGTAAACTTTATGTAAATGTGTTGAATGTTTGCAGGCAGCATGTGACAGAGACTGAGAACTGGGCGGAGGCGCCAGCCGCGCCGCCGCCGCCCGACCAGGAACCTCTGCGGTGCGTGCGCTGCAGGAAGGTAATCTCCGTTGTTGTATATCAATAATTCTGTATCAATATTTTTCTAAAATCACCCACTTGTAACTTTTTATGGAAAAAGCTATTAATAATAGCTTTTTCCATAGTGTAGGGTTGTAATACTTGATTTACAATAAAAAAATCATGATTAATTAAGTAGTGTTTATGTGTTATATGTGTATTGCTTATGTATAATTATTTCAGTATCTTGCTATAATTATGTCACATATTTTTCACCACATCTGCTTTGCACATAGGTTAGCTGGAAGAGTATGCCATATGGCATAAACTCATCCCTTGTACAAAGCTTTACTGTGCAATAAAGAATAAAATATAAATTAATTTGTGCTATTCCTCATTTGATATATAGTAACCCTGATTATATATTCACTGGTGATATAGTGGTTTCTGTCCAGCACTCTGTACTTGTCACTGTTTGATCGAGTAAAATAATATAAAATTTCATTTTCAAACTGACTTGAAACTAAAAATGTTTGTTACCTCATAACTTCTTAAATCTAAACCAATTTGGAAAATTCTTTTTTATCTAAAAGGATATATTTACAGATCTAAAATTTTATCAAAATCGGTCCTGTAATTAATTTGTAAATTAAAACAGCTGGTTTGTTGACAACTAAATTCGGTTTTTTTTTGTGGGGCACAATCTTTAATTATACAAGGATAATTTATATAAGTAGGTATATTTTTTTATTGATTCGTAAACTAAATTGATCTTTACCTGTAGAAGTAGTATTACCGCGTGCACACAGAAATTGATATTGAGGTTCTAGTTGTATTAATAATTTTAGTTTACATATAAATGGTCCGAGTGGTCCCGGCATAGAATACGCCACCCCTTCCTTTCCCGTGGATGTCGGAAGAGACGGTTAAGGGAGGGCGAGGATCGACATCAATGTCTCTCTTAAAACATCTCTAAAACGTAGTTGTGGTTGCCAATCCGCCTGCCAAGCATGCGACTACTGGCAAAACCCCCCAAGGGGAAGGCTTATGTCTAGCAGTGGATCATTAAGAGCTGATATGATGATGATGATAGAAATGATGAGGCTATCACCATCAAAACAGTAATTACTAATATAAACAACAACAAAATGTAGATGAATTAGTAATGAAGTGCGAGCAGTGTGTGAGAGAGTAGTGAGTGGCGTGAGTACAGGCGTGGTGGTGGTGGCGCAGGTGCTGGCGCGCGGCGAGTGGGCGGCGCACTGGCGGCGGCACTGGGAGCGCGACCGCCGCCCCTACCGCTGCGCGCTCTGCGAGAAGACCTTCCGCGACCCGCACCAGATCCTCAAGCACGGTCAGCTCGCAACCCTTCCTACCGTTCATTGTACGCTGCACACGAGTGCTTAGCACTGTCATCACATTCAGCGAAACTTGGCTCGTTATTTCGCGGATTAATTTACGAATGTTCATGTGTCGAATGTGCGCGTTAAACAAAAAAAACTATACATTGCGACGTACAGGTGCGAGCGTTCCATGTCCATTTGTTCACATAATAACCGACATTCTGTTGCGACTGAAGATTTGCTCAGTGTGGCGCTAGTCATATATTAAGTTTCTACCAAGATATAGACAATATCATATGTTTTTTTTATAACACGGGTCAAACAAGTATGTGGCTTACCTGATGGTAAGTAACTACCACCGCCCATGATCACCCACAACACCAGAGGTATTACAGGTGTGCTGGCGGCCTTTTATAAAGGAATTTGCCCTTTGAAGGTTATGATGTCGTCTCAGTTCGGAAATACCGCTGCTGGAAGTTAATTTCAAAGAGTTTGTTATTATTATTATCTTTATAATTCATTATGAGTGTTTGAAATAATATAACCAGTTTAATTTCATTATGAGACATAGGTATAATAATATTCGTAAGTAAAAATATACAAAAACTATTTTTGTATATTACAGGTCTCACACACAAGATGGGCGAAGACGGGTCAGACTCTGCACAGCCTCTCACGAAGCGATTTGTTTGTGATCTTTGCCCTGAAGGTTTTGTATATATGAGGTACAGTCCCAACTTGAGGTTTATTTTTCTTATTTCACGTTAAGTCTATTATGTGTGTGTTCTTTATGTATAATTTTATTTTATCTGCTATTTTATGAAGTACGTATGAGTTTAAGTAAAAAAGGGCTTAAAACAGAGCCTTGGGAAACACCAATTTTTTTCATAATTCCTTTTGATTCTAAATTATTAATTTTTCTGACAATAAGTTGTATTCTATTATATCATGAATACTGTTAGAATACAGTACTTATAACTACTAACAAATAAATAGTTGCTATAAGTAATTCTTAATAGATAAAGGTAATTGTCTGTTCCAATTGTGGAATCGTGCACATTATAGTAACGTAAACAGTAATAAGTTTTATATAGGCACATAATATTTATAGCTAAATTGAACTAATATCGTTATAAGGTAAAAGTGGGGAAAAATTTAAATTTTGCATAGTCGTTTTTTAATTCAAATGCCAAAGAATCAGATTCAGGAGGTTAAAATTATAAGTCAGATTTTGAGGATTTATTTAAAAACTGTGCAACGAATCAAAAAACGTCGAAAGGGGTACTTGGAGCCGAAGGGGTTCTGTCTAGTAGCATCTTAGATTGTGAATGTATATATGTGACTTTAGACGTGGGATCTTTTTTTTTTCTGAACGTGTTTGCTGTTGGCCGTGGGTGGTCTTTACAGCTTCATTGGACGCGAATGCTGGGGCGAGTGCAGATGGCACTCCAAGCCCGCGAGAGGGGAGCGACAGAGGACACTTATGTACTGCGATGTGAGCGCTTAAGGGCGCCAGAGTGGCTCGACCTCGGCTGAGGCCACCGCACTTCGACCCCCGTCAAGGGACGGCGAAGGGTCGGTACGTCTGGGTGGGTGAGAATGCGACGCGGTTGCTGTGCGCTCGAGCGCAAACCTGATCGCGCGCGGACCGTGTGTCGCGAGGGTTTTTCGCTCCCGCCGGCGGTGTGTGCGGTGTGTGGGTTTGTTAGTAGGGCCTACTGTCGAAGATTCCGCGGCGTAGTTGGATCATCGGGGCCAAGAGTGCGTGCCTCGGGCGACGACGTTTTGGAGCGACGTTCTCTATGGGGGGTTTGTATTTAACCGCTCTTGCTATGAGCGGATCCGGATGGGGACGTGGGAACGAGTGTCGTCGAATAGGAGCAGATCTGGATGGGAGGGGCTGGTTACTGCGCAGGTACCTGCTGGGCCACCGGCTGGCCGCGCACCCCGAGGCGGCCGGCCGCGCGCTGCTGCTGCGCTGCGCGGCGTGCGGCCGCCAGTTCGCGCACCTCAACTCGCTGCGCCGCCACCTGCGCGCGCACTCGGGCGAGCGCAACTTCCTCTGCAACGTCTGCGGCAAGGCGCTGTCCTCGCGCGAGCACCTCAAGTTCCACATCCGCATCCACACCGGCTACAAGCCCAACGTCTGCAAGTACGCTGTCCCACCGCACCGCACCACACACTGCCATTCACATCTACAGACAGTTACCGATTTATATTTTGACACCAGTAGGGGATAACAGGTGAAGGACGAAAACGCAAGTCAGTTATCCCAATGTGATAAATACACCTGGAATACAGCACGATTACCAGAGGGAGACTTTGTACAAAAGTCGTCTGCTTGAACACCTTTGTTACATTCGTATTTCTACCGTAAAGCAGTTGTGTTTACATGCAGTGAATTTACAAGGTACAGAGGAATAACATCTAAGTCCTCAGGAATGGCAACGCATTAGTGTTAGTATTGTACATGACCTTGTACACTGAGTAATTTTTTTCTTAATGGGTGATGATGGAATAGTAACCCCGCCTGTGCTATCGGTATCGGTACACTGGCGGAGCACCAGCGAAGGATGATAGGTGAGGATGAAAAAACAAGTCAGTTAGCCCATCGTGATGAATACACTTGGAATTCAGCATGATGGTTTCCAGGAGGGACCATGTAGAGATCGACCTGGTTGGATATATTGCTAGCAATGGAGCCCTTAGTCTCCATCATTAACAATCCTTCCCCCCCCCCCTTCACATTGAGTAGTATACACTGTGGTGCGCAGGACTTGCGGCAAGGGCTTCGTGAAGAAGTGCAACCTGACGCTGCACGAGCGCGTGCACTCGGGCGAGAAGCCGCACGTGTGCTCGCACTGCGGCAAGGCGTTCAGTCAGCGCTCCACGCTTGTCATACACGAACGGTCAGTCCAGTACTTTCAATATGTACGGTAATAAATAAATTAACTCATTACTGAATAGTGTTTCAAGTTTCACAGCTTGTCAAGTTATGCCAAGACATGCACCATAGCTTAGTATATGTTTTACTGGACTTGGTGTTATTTTACAAAAGTCCATAATATAATTAGAATTATTTTGTGTAATTTCGATACAATTGGATGTTTTTTTTTTTACTATCAACACTCGAGGATTGATCATCACTATTACAAGAAGCTGTACAAACTTCCGTATCAGTTATCAATCACCGACTGCCATTTTGTCCACGCACGTTTTACGATACGTGTTTCACCTTTAAACGAGACATCTTCAGCCAAGTTATCAAATCGCTGCTCAGAACCTAGTGAACCAACTGTGCCATTCTGAACAGTGATAACTGTTCAGAATGGCAATAGCAATGGCATGGTTTTTTTATGGATGATAATGGAATGGTAACCCCGCCTGAGCTATCGGTATACACTGGCAGGGCACCCGCGAGGGATGATAGGGGAGGATGAAGCAGGCCAGTTAGTCCACCGTGACGAATCTAACAATAAATCAGTTACGATGGTTTCCAGGGGGTACTACGAGGAGGTCGACCTGACAGGGTATATTGTTAATAATGGGGCTAATAATTCCCATTACTAACAATCCCTTTTCCCCCATAATGGCATGGTTAATTACCTCAGATAACTAGACATAGTAATACCAATATTAGTTATTACCAATTTACTATAACCGAGTGAAATGAAACATTGGCATCCATTATATACGGCAGGGGAATTACAAGACACGGAGGCATAACGCCATTACTGGATGGTCTCAGGAATGGCAACGCATAAGGAATACCAAGGGCATCACACTGTATTCTGTGATGCACATAGTTTTGATTATATATAAAAATTATAGTTACTGCTGTCCATCAGGCAGCCTGTCAGCTTGTTTGCCATTGGAATATTCTGCCAGTGGACATAACTTTTTTTAGAGAAATAGGGTCCAAAAATTGAAAACTAGAGCCTTCCATTGGAATCTGTTAGCTGGATATAATAGTGGTTGTAAAAAATATTTAATATCACTTTGTGGGACAATGTTTATGGAAAAAAAATAATCAGTTGTAAAACACACTTAAGGATGTTAATAATTTTTTCTCAAACATGCTTGAAAATGTGAGCATTATTTTGACAATCTTCTTCGAGATAAATCAAAATTGCCGTACTGGCCAAGATACATGCGGGCAGCGACCGGCAAAAGTTGTATGAAAATCCATATCTGTTGTGTTTTGCGGCCAGATAAATTACTATGTAAACTCATATCTGTCCTGTAATTTAAAAATGGAATGACCTTTTACTTCGAAACATGGCTATTTAACTAATACAAGATTTTATTTAAATTTCGAACTGGCTTGCAAATAGAAAGCTGTTTATTGAAAAAAAAAAAACAAGAGAACATTATGGCGCCTGAAAAATTATTATTGTTCGTTATTCGTCATTGAATTTAAAAAGTAAAATTGTGTTTTTGATTTCCGCGCATTGTTTGAGAAAAGTACTAAACAAGCCTTGGCGACAGCTAGGTATTGATGGACGAACGTACAAATGTGGGCCGAGGTGTAACCGAGGCACACATACGTGAGTCGTTAGTTGCTGGCCGCTGCAGTAATGTACTATTATTTCATTTTGTATATAATTGAAAAGGGCCTCGCTCTGTACTAAGACGTTTGCTAATTAGACTGCAGTCAGATATAGGGTGGTGCGGTGGTAGTTTCCAGCAGAGTTCATTGCTTGTGTACTGGTATACTAGCGGTGAGTGTCTGGACGGCAGGTACCACAGCGGGGCGCGGCCGTACGTGTGCGGGCTGTGCGGGCGCGGCTTCGTGGCCAAGGGGCTGCTGTCCATGCACCTCAAGACCACCTGCATCTAGCGTACACGCGCGCACGCATTCGCACGGTAACCGTACGCATTTTTAATTACTGAGTTTTTTTTAATGGGTAATAATGGAATGGTAACCCCACCCGCGCTATCGATATACACCGGCGGGGCACCAGTGAAGGATGATAGGTGAGGATGAAGCAGGTCAGTTAGCCCATTGTGACAAATTTAACAAGAATTGTTCACGATAGTTTCCAGGGGGAACCATGTGGAGGTCCACCTAATAGGGCATATCGCTAGCAATGAGGCTGTCAAACTCCATTATTAACAATCCCTTACCCCCTATTACAGACAGTTGCCCACGTGCATTTATATATAAAATATCCCATGTTAAAATATAACTTATCCAAGTACTAAATTTCACTCAAATTCGTTCAACCCCTTAAAAGTGGTTGTGTAACATACATTAATATGTTTACTAACATTAGTATTACTAGCCTAGTATTATTTCTCTCGGCTTTAAGTGGCGACCCCGGACAGGCAAACACAATGTAGGACGACCGTAGTAGTGTAGATGGAGTGACGATCTCAAATGCATTGCAAGGAGTCAGTGGATGTAGGTGGCTCAGAAATATTTTTTATGGCGGTCTATGGGGGAGGCCTATGTCCAGCAATATTAGCAATATTTGTATAATGTATTTTCTTGTAATTGACATAAGGTCCCCCAAGGGGGAGACCCTTGGGGGCTTTTGCCAGTAGTTGCCATGCTTGGCAGACGGATTGGCAACTACACTTAGGCTTTAAAGTTGTTTTAAGAGGGACGCTGCTGCCTATCCCTTGCCCTCCCTTAGTCGCCTCTTATGACACCCACGGGTAAGGAAGGGGTGGCCTACTCTATGCCAGGAGTACACGATCACATTAGTATATTTTTTATGACAATTTTTTTTATTGTCGTAATATCTCAGGTTTATTGCCAATAACAAATATAAAGTTTGTTTTCTGTTGCTAATAACAAATAAAGTGTAATTTCTATTTGTTGTTGGCAATAAGTGATTTTCTTTCTTTCTTATTGTTGTAAAAATCTTATTAAAATGATTTGCAGGTGGCGCAGCTGAAGCTCGCCGCGCCCTCAGACTGAACTAGTTACTAACGTGTAGGTATTACTTGAATGTCATCACAAACAGATGAATGTGATATGTAATTATAAACAATACGGAACCAGGGATTTTTATTGTATACAAAGTTGTGTTTACGCGGTTATTTATTGCGGTCAAGTTCCCCATTCCAGTGCTGCAGGCCGGTCTTATTATTTTTATTACTCGCAACTCGCCCATTGTTTATTAGAGAACATTTTTGCTAATATTGTGTTGTACGGTGCTGTATATTGATGCAAATCTTTCGGGCATTCGTTTTCTCAAAGTGACGTTGAAAAATTGACATGTAAATATGCCTTAATAATTATTGATTTGTTTTTCCGTAATAGTGACATCTGTATTATTTTAATGTAACTAAAAATAGCGCCATCTTTGGGAGAGGTCGTTAAACTATAATGTAATAATTGATCCAATAATGATTTTGAGGCGCAACTTGAATGTTATATACAGTGTTTGCTATATTGTTACCTTGCACAGTAAGTATACGTAGTGTCGACCAAAGAAATGTATACATTATAGTAAATAAACTGAATTGAATGAAAAACACAATAAATATACAAGGTAAGGTTATTAAAAATATAGGGTGTAACACTCAAATCTAGCGACAGTAATCGAGAAATGTTCCTGTAGACAATTACCAAAGGAATCCATCGATATATACGTTTTCGCTGCCGCATGCATGATAAATTCAAATTCAAAAATCATTTATTCATGTAGGACATTTTAGCCGCTTATGAACGTCAAATTTGTACATTATAATTTTATATTTACCTACCGTAGTTCGGTATATAGATCCAATTGAGAAGAACTGGCAAGAAACTCAATTGAATTACTTTTTTTTAAAGCCAGTTTATTTACAATGTATATTTATATAGGTGTCTATGTCTAACATTAAATGAAAATTCAGTGCATGAACAACTATTGCCATGCACACTCGTCATTCAAGTAATCGTTTAGTGAGTAATAGGCTTTGCTCAGTAAATATGATTTAACAGATGTTTTGAATTTATTTAAGGGTAATTCCAACATATCCTTTGGTATCTTATTGTAAATTTTCATACCTATTCCCATAAAAGACCTATTAACTTTTTCTAAACGATACTTGGGGACAGCAAGTTTGTCTTTAAATCTAGTATTAATATTATGAATATTGCTGTTTTTTGGAAATAAGTCAAGATTTTTATGAACATATAGAATATTTGAATATATAAATTGAGAAGCAACGGTGAGAATATTTGCCTCTTTGAATTTCTCTCTTAATGAGTCACGACTCTTCATACAGTAGATCGCTCGAACGGCACGTTTTTGTAATATGAATATATTCTTAATATCTGCCGCTTTTCCCCATAGTAATATTCCATAAGAGAGTAAACTATGAAAATAACTAAAATAGACTAATCTAGCAGTATCAGTATCAGTGTACTGTCTAACTTTACGCACGGCAAAAGCTGCTGAACTTAGTTTCGCTGCAAGGCTTTGAATTTGTGCACCCCATTGTGTTTTATTATCTAGTGTGATTCCTAGAAAGACAGTAGAGTCTATAAATTCGAGAGATTCGTCATTAATATTGCAATTAGTATTAAAACTTTTAGATAGAGAGAAATTAACACATTTTGTTTTTTTAGCGTTTAACATAAGATTGTTAGTTGTAAACCAGTGCAGGAGACGCCGCAAAGCACTATTTACATCGATATAGAACGAAACGGCAATGTTCGGTGTTTTGTTCTTTAAGCTAGTTATAAAAGGCTGTTAAACTATTTTGCACAAAGAAAAAAAAATATGGGATGGGAAATTATCAAGCCTTTTACTATTTAGGGTGGACTTATGCTTATTGTCTTTTGAGCCCAATTGTCTGTGTATAGACGCTGACGGTATTTGAGAGGGGGTGAGGTTAGATCGCAGAGGCCGGTAGGCAGTGTCCGTACTTTTTTTTTTGATGTGTGAAAATGGTATGGTAACCCCGCCTGCGCTAACGGGATACGCTGGCGGAGTACCAGTGAAGGGTGATAGATGAGAATGAAAACAGGCCAGTTAGCCCATCATGATGAATTCATCAGGAATTAACCATGATAGTTTCCAGGAGGAACGACCTGGTTGGGTATATTGCTAGCAATGGGATTCTCAGTCTCCATTACTAACAATCCCTTTCCCCCCGGCAGTGTCTGTACTGTACTCTAGTACTTATCCTGTTTCATAGGCAGCTGGGGTTACCATTCCATTTTTATTTTATTATAAAAAAGTCCAGATGGCTTCATATACTTTCATAAAAGGAGCTTTTTGTAATCGCGTATAGTTTTTATACCACTAAGGTGGCAAATAAGTATATGGCCCACGTGATGGTACGCGGTTGCTGTAGCCTATGAACGCCTGCAATTCTAGAGGCATTACGCGCGCGTTGCCGACCCTGAAGATACCTCTTTATCCCTTTTTTTAAGGACCCCATGCTGTAGTTTCTTGGAAAAACTTCGACAGGGAGCTCATTCCATAACCTGAGCGTTCCTAGAAGAAAACATCTGAAATCGCGCTGTACGCAACCGTCTAGACTCTAAAGTATTAAAGTGAATTCCCTGTCAATGGCAAGTTGTACGATGGTAGATCGCCGTGGGAATCATATTGAACAATTCCTCTGAGCACAGTCCGTTGTACAAGTGGTAGAACACGCAGATTGGTCTTAAGTCTCCTAAGACTTGAGGGTTCGATATCGCTTGTAAGCCTGGGATCATCGACAAATCTCTATTATGAAATTAGGAAAGTGTCATGAATACTGTCACTAGGTTTTTTTTTTTGATGGGTGAAAATGGTATGGTAACCCCGCCTGCGCTAACGGGACACGCTGGCGGAGTACCAGTGAAGGGTAATAGATGAGAATAAAAACAGGTCAGTTAGCCCATCATGATGAATTCATCAGGAATTAACCATAATAGTTTTCAGGGAGAACCGCGAGGAGGTCGACCATGTTGGGTATATTGCTAGCAATAGGATTCTCAGTCTCCATTACTAACATTTTCTTTCCCCCCGGTCAGAATTGAATGGTAACCCCGCCTGCGCTATCGGTATACGCTGGCGGAGCATCAGTGTGAGGTAATAGGTGAGGATGAAGGCAGATCAGTTGGCCTATAGTAATCAATTGAACAAGAATTAACCACTATGGTTTCCAGGGGCAACCGCGTGGAGATCGAGCTGATAGGGTATATTACTAGCAATGGGGTTGTTAAATCTCATTATTATCTCCCTTTCCCCCCAACTGAAGAGTTATAACACATATAAAAATTAATACAACCGAACTCGAAACCTCTTTTTAAAGTCGTTTCAGGGAAAAACGAAGATGCAATTGCTTGGTCTAATTCGACCTTCATGAGTTATCGCATGAAGGTCGGACTAAGTGTCAGTCACGGCTCGTTGTCGGTTCGTTTCCGGCTTGGTAAAATATTGTCACGTAAGAAATTGTGTGTGTATTCATACTAACTGAACAGTACAGTTTTACTTGAACCCCGTGACAGTCAAATAACTTCGAAGTATTTTACTGAATAATATTTTGGAGACAGAAAAAAAACATTGGTTGACCTTATTCAATTTATATTGGTTCAATACCGAATAACAGTAACGTGGGGGGGGGGGGAATGTCCGTAATGCGTACTAAAAGTCCCACTGTACAATATATATATGTGTAGCAATATACTCCATCAGGTCGGACTCTACGTAGCCCCCATAGAAACCATCATGCTAAATTCCAGGTTTAATGCAATTTTTTTTTAATGGGTGAAGATGGAATTATAACCCCGCCTTCGCTAATGGTACACACTGGTGGGGCACCAGTGAAAGATGATAGGTGAGGATGCAGCAGGTCAGTTAGCCCATCGTGACGAATTGAACAATAGATCAATCACGATAATTTCCAGGGGGAACCACATGGAGGTCGACCTGATAGGGTATATTGCTAGTAAAAGGGTTGTTAAGCCTCACTACTAACAATCCCTTCTTCCCCCTCCAGGTGTATTCATCACGATAGGCTAGTTGATCTGCTTTTTCATTCTCACCTACCATCCCTTACTGGTGCCTCGCCAGCGTATACCGTTAGCACAGACAGGGTTATCATTCCATTACCATCTAAAAAAATACCGAAAATTGTATATTGAATGCCACGATGTATTTTAAACACTGGATGTACAATATATAGGTATTGCATCAGAAAAAAAACCCAATATATAGATATTGGTCGAAGTTAAGTGCCACCCCGCCGCTCGCCGTCCCATGTGAACGCTATCTGCGAACGGTCAAGGCCTCGTCAATTTGCCGAACGAATCACTTGAAAACAAAATGTTCACCGATAACCCCAAGTCAATTACGTCTATTATAGTCCATATTCTCTTGTCCATACAAAGGAGACGCCAGCAGCGTATTCCACGTACCAATGATACTAATAGGGGGAAGGGATTGTTAGCAATGGAATTTGACAGCCCCATTGCTAACAATATGCCCTATTAGGTCGACCTCCACGTGGTTCCCCCTGGAAACCATCGCGAACAATTCTTGTAGAATTCGTCACAATGGGCTAACTGACCTGCTTCATCCTCACCTATCATCCTTCACTGGTGCCCCACTAGTGTATTCCGATAGCGCGGGCAGGGTTACCATTTCGTTATCTTTCAAAAAAAAAGATACTAATAATGGGGGGAGGGGGGTTGTTAGTAATGGCTAGTCTTCATTTCTAGGAATATACCTTTTTTTTAATAGATGATAATGGAATGGCAACCTCGCCTGCGCTAAGGATATATGCTGGCGAGGCACCAGTGTGGGATAATAGGTGAGGATGAAAAGGCAGGTCAGTTAGCCCATTGTGATGAATACACCTCGGATTCAGCACGATAGTTTCCAGGGGGGACCACGTGGAGGTCGACCTGACAGGATCTTGCTAGCATTGGGACTGGTAGTCCGCATTACTAACAAACCCTCACCAAAAATATACCTTATCAGGTCAACCTCCACGCGGTTCCCCCTGGAACCTATCGTGATTAATTCATGTCGAATTCATCATGGTGGACCAACTAACTTGCCAGTGTATAGTGATAACATAGGTGGGATTACCATTCAATTTTTGACCCATTAAAAAAAAATATTGCCTTTGTGATGGATTACCAGAGTGCGCCCGACCTCTTGATCACCTCTGTTAAGAAACCGCGCGGGTCGTAAGCTCGATTGCCACATCACTAGTTAAGGATTTGAGTTTATTTACCGAATCTCTTACAAAAAAAATACAAATTCATGTTTCCTAATTAAGCTTAATATTTAATCGCAGCACGCTTGTGTAAATACATTGTAAGACCTATTTCTAACTACAGACAAATCTATCGATAGACTCGTCGCTACCACTTGCATGAGATAGAACGAGACGGCAACTTTGGGCGTCTTTTTTCCGTAACGTTCTCTTATGAAAAGATAGAGGTTTTCGTTGTTTATTCTTCTCATCTCAGTTAATGAATGATATTTATTTCGTTTAGGCGGTAGCGATAACGTGTCTGTCGACAGATTTGCTTGTCTAGAAAGGCGGGTCGGGTTGAGGACGTAATTTTAATTTTTCTAACATTTATGTCAATGAAAAGTTATGTCATAATTGATTGAACTTGACTACTAGAATTCGTAAATACAAAGTGCCTCGACATGTGATACAGTTATAAGTTGGTCTGTCCCGTTGTGACCGCGTCCCTGTTTGAAATGATTGCGACGTACACA